GATACCCACGGTGTCCAGTGACCTCACAAACGGAGCTATTTTGGCTGCGTGCAACACTGTGAACGGCGGTGAGGAAGCGAACTACTTTATTCCGTCCGTGTACAATGCCACCATCCTGACCTGCAGTGATCCATGCATCCTCGCGGCTTCGTGCTTCCCCGCGTACACGACGACGGCGTCGAGTGACGGCTGCACCTGCGCATGCGCTGAGGGCGGCCACGGCGATGCGTGCCCGCCCGTTGCTGTCCCCGAGCCGCCGAGCACCGACGGCACCGACTTGTGCGTGCGGGACGTGAGTGTGGATGTGGAGGTGAACGTCAGTTTCGGGACGTCGGTGGTGTGCTACGTTGGCGTGACCTTTGCGGCGGACGTCGTGGTGGACGTGGAGCCGATGTCAGGGGGCGTGCGCAACGTGACGCTGGCGAACTGCACGTTTGTGGGTAGAGCGAGCCTGTACGTTGTTGGGTGGCTGTCCGACCCGCCTGCTGGACAGCGCGCCGATGTGTTGGTCAGCGGGCTTGAGTCGCGCTCCGGCGGCTCCGTGGTGGCGTTTGTTGACAGCGACTTCCTGCTGTGCAAGCACGCGGTGTCTGTGCGTGGGGCTGTGAGCGTGTCGGGCTCCGCTGTGGCGCTTGTGCGAAGCGACTTTTCGTCGACGGGGGACTACGCGGTGGCGTTTTATTCGACGGTGAGCCTGGCTGGCGGGTCGATGCTGCTGGCGAAGAGCAACGTGCACGACGGTGTCTCGAGGGAGATGCTCTACGCCGCTGGCACCGTGACCGCTGCTGGGAGCACGCTGAGCTTTGTGCGCAACCGAGCGCTGCTGCCGCGGATGCTGTCGGTGAGCCTGTCGCTTGCAGCTGGGGCGCATTTGAGGGTGGCGTGCAACGACGCTGGTGGACGTGTCCTGTCGACGGCGGAGGAGTACGCTGCGGCTGGTTTTGGCGACGCTGGGAGCATCGACGTTGCTGGGTGCGACGCCTGCGACAGGGACACACACTGCTACGCGCCCGGGACGGCGTCGGCGAGCATGAGGAACGGTGTGTGCGTGTGCGCGTGCGGCAGCGGCGGGTACGGCGAGGCGTGCGTGCCTGTGGGAGCTCCCGCGCTGCCGCCCGCTGTGGGCACTGCGTCGAGTGTGTTCTTCCGCGAGGGCGTGACGGTGCGGTCGGTGTTCGTTGTGCCTGCCGGCGCGAGCGAGGTGGCGCTGCGCCACGTTGTGCTGGACGGCGTGAGTCCTATGCTCTACGTGCCGTGGATGGCGCGGGACGGCGTGCGGATCGTTGTGCAGAACGTGTCGCTGCTGAACGGCGCCGTGCTGTACGTGATGGGCGGTGGAGGCCTGCGCGGTGCGGGGGCGGCGGGGAGCGACGAGAGCGGGCCGGTGGAGCTGTCGGTGTGCGATGTGGAGGCGCTGAACGGTGCGCTTGTGCTGACCGGCACTTTTCCCGCGGGGTCCGTGCTGACGGTGACGGACTCCCTGCTGGTTGCCACGAGGTCTACGCCGCTTGTGTATCTTCCCGGCTCGCAGTCCTCGCCGTACGCACCGGTGCTGGTGCTGTCGGGCCTGCGGCTCGTGCGGTCCGTGCTGGTTTTGTCCGGCGTGGCCCTCGTGACCGTGATGACTGGTGGGCGGACGGTGGTGGTGGACGGCGCCGTGCTGGAGCTTGTCGGTGGCGGTGTTGCGCTGGACGCGACTGTGTTCGGTGGCGAATATGCGTTGTGCGCGAGTGCGCGCGTGGTTGCGTCGTGGGGCGCTGTGCTGCGCGTGTCTGGGAGCCAGGTGTACGCCGCGCATGGGCTGGTGTTCGACAGCGGTGTGGAGGCCAACGCGTCCGCCGTCGTGGTGAACGACAACGCCGGTGCGCTGACGGATGGTGCGCTGCTGGAGCTGCGGGGGTCGGCGTCGTTTGTGTCCGGGTCGTGGCTGTCGGTGCGCGGCAACAGCATCAGCGGCAGGCTCCTGTCGCTGTCGTCGTACCCGCGCAGTGCGGACCTTGTGCAGAGCACGCTGACGCTCTATGGGAACGCTGGCAGCGGGCCCGTCGTGATGGACGGCACCGTTGCGCTTGTAGGCGCCGGCCGAAGATTCGTCGTGGGGTGCCTGACGCTGAACGGGCAGGCGCTGCAGCCGATGGACTACAGGTCCGCCGGCATCATCGGGGAATTCCGTCCTGTGGCGTGTGGCGTGTGCGACGCCGACGTGTTCTGCTTTGCTGCTGCGACGAGGGCGATGTCGGGGTCGTGCGTCTGCCGCTGTGCTGAGGGCGGGTACGGGCGCGACTGCCTGCCGGTGTACCTGCCGCACGTGGACGGGTGCAACCGCACGCCCGCTATGCCGCTGATGAGCCACACGGCGACGCTGACGGAGACGCGCAGCCTGACACCAACGTGGACGGCGACACCTACACCGAGCCTGAGCACGGAGCGCTACAGTCCGACGCAGCACGGGCCGACGGAGACCCTGCAGGTGACGGAGACGTTGGCACTGTCGCCCACGCGGACCCCGACGGCGTCGGTGAGCAGCACGCTGTGGTGGAGCGAGGTGGCGTGCCCGACGTTTGCCGTGACGACGACGGCGGCTGGTGGGAGCCTGACGCAGAACGACATCCGTGGCTGTGGGAGCGCCGTCCCGACGCGGCTGATGGTGGCGCTGCCGCCGCCGTTTCGGTGGGCACGCGACCCGCAGCTTGGCACGCACCTGAGCTTTGTGCCGGTGGCGACGGCGCAGCCGAGCGGGTTTGGCGGTCCGTGGGGAGCGATGCTGCGCAACGCGACGTGGGTGCGCAATGCGACGAATCCGTCCACCGTCCTGGAGCTGGCTGTGCCTGTGCACCGCGGTTACTTTATTGGTGCCGACGAGACGATAGTCATTCGCTGCGACGCTGTGGCGGTGTCCGGCGGCTGCAAGGGTGTGCTGCTTGGTTCCTTCACGATCAGGTCTGACACGCTGCCCGCCGCAGCCAGTGCCCTCTCGGCGATCTCCGGCGTTGTTGCGGGTGCGGCGGCTGTTGCCGTGGTGGTGACCGGCGGGCTCGGCTCCATTCTGGAGATGCAGACACTCGGCGTGTTCGCGAGGATGTCGTGCGCCTCGGCGCAGGAGCGTGCGAGCACCGTTGCGCTGCCGTACTTCCTGTCGGTGTTCGCTGCTCTTGACCCGTTGTGGATGGTGGTGGGCAACGCGCTGCTCGACTTTGTGTTTGGGTGCGTGCACTGCGGTGTGACGGCGGCCTTCCAGCGGTGGCGCGGCGTGGACGCGGCGACTGCGTGGGCTGCGATGCGCTTCCCGAGCCTGACGTACGTCGTGGCGCACGCGATGCACCTCGGCGTTTTCTTCGGCTCCGTACTCGCACTGGCGATGCCCGACGCCCGCGTGCAGCACCGCGTGATTGGAGTTGTTGGCGTGCTGTACGGTGTGGCGTTCTTTGCCGGCGTGTGCTACTTGATTGCCCGCCACGTGGGCGCGAGCTTCACGAAGTACTGGCAGTTTTCGAGGAAGCCGCTGCGCGAGCGCCTGCTGTACCCCGTCGGGTATTGGCACCCCGCGGCGCAGCAGCGGATGTACGGCGGCATGCTGACGAGCATGAGGGGCAGCCGCGTGTACTGGTGCATGTTCCAGCTGTCGGTGCTGTGTGTGGTGTGCCTGATTGCGGCTGTGCACCCGCCCGTGGGAGGCTGCCACGTCCAGTACTTCTGCATGGCGGCTGTGCTGCTTGCGGGTGCGGGCGTGGTTGCCTTCACGAACATGATGCGCTCGGCCTTCCTGACGGTGATGCACACTGCGGGCTTTCTGCTCCTTGCGGCGCTGTGCGTGGTGAGCGCGGCCAACCACCTTGTGCCGAGCGACGGCGGTGCGAGGGCGTACGCGGCTATCGTGCTGCTGCTGACGACTGTGCTGCTTGCGGTCGCTGTGTACAGCGTCGTTGTGTGGTACGCGGAGGACCGCCACTGGCAGGAGCTGCGCGAGCCGCGGCGTGGCGGACTGGAGGCGCTGCTGCGCGATGACGAGGAGAGCGACGAGGACACGCAGAAGCTCCACGAAATGACGTCATCGTCGTACGCCTCAGGCACCACCGTTGCGCTCTTGTACCGACCACCCGCAGTGCCGTTGCAGCCCATGGCTGGTGACACCCGCTCAGACACTCTGAGCCTGCTTGACCGTGCATGCAGTGCGAGCTGCAGCATTAATTATGCTCTTCTGGACAGGTGAAGATGCTTTGCTTGAAAAATTTAACGCAGTTTCTCCTTTTGGGGGTGTAAAGGCTCCGCCACTCAACAGCACCGTTGCGCGTCGAGAATGCAAAAAGCCCCTCGTAGGTACGGCATAACGTGGATGCTTCTGCTAGGCATCTTCTTTCTTTTAATTATTCATAGATTGATTGGGTGATTGATTTGTTGCTTTTATTTTATTAAGAGCTTGTGAAGAGAATGATCGCGGGAGAGCTGGCATACTTAATTAATGTGCGTAAATCCTGATAACTGAATGCTTTCCTTTTTGGTGCTTTCTACCGTATGAATATATTGGGAAGTACACGACTTTGTAGGGGCAGCAGGGAACCGATAGGGGCTAGATGCTTTTTATTTTTACCATCTTACCCACCCACTTTTGATTCCCACCATGCGGCGGGTTCTTGTGGTTGGGGGACTACAAAGTCTGCCATTTCGTCAGTAAATATATTAGATCCTATCTGACTGCAAAAGGCTGCGTGAGCGGCCAAAAGAATATATACATATATATAGTATCAGGAGAAAACATGTGGTAAATTAACTTCCTATGTGTTGCCCCCTTTTCCTATGTTGTCTGGTTTCTTTACATAACTTCAGGATCCAGCCAGCAGTCAAGAGGATTATTCGAGTTCAATATTTACTCTACCCTGTGTGGATGACTGAATTGCTGTGGCTCTCTGTCATGTATGTGCATTTTTTATCCCTCTCATTCCTTTCTTTGGGTGGTTATTGTTCAGCTTTAACTCAATCTAACTAAGAAAACAAGAAGAACAATGTCTGGAAGGCCCGAGGAAGGACTTTACGATAATGAGGAAATTCAAGCGCCTACTGTCCCGCAGGGATATCGGAGGAGAGCGAGGTCGGAATTTGAGGGTGACACAGATCACTTCTCTGCGACTCGCAGAAGAGTGGAGGAAGCGCGGCGACCACAGCGGACCATGAGAAGCACCGTAAAGGACATTCTGCTGGAGGGAAGCACTCTCAGGAACAACATGAAGCTGAATGAATTCCTTCGGAATCATGTTGGTGGCAGGGGAGTTGTGGACACCAATGAGAACGTCGCTATGGAGATGTTTGTTCAGGATCCCGAGATGTTTATCCAAAACGAAAGGTTATTACGCATAATAACGACAACGCCGTCATACCAAGCGCTGGAGGCCATTAATAAGCTTCATCACGAGGATGTGGACTCTCTCGAGCAATGGAGGGACTATGAAAGAAAGGATACGGTCACTCCTTTTGCAAGGGAAAAACTAAACGCAGCCCTCACTCAGGTACTGACAGAAGAACGCCGTGAGGCGGAAGAAAGGGCAAGGCGGGAGGAACAAGTAATATTTAACTTATTTGCTAAGATCGAAGATTTGTTGTTTGGAGGAAGAGTTCGCGTCATGGACATAAAGCTGAACGATTTTCTTACGCTGGAAATGGAAGGCAGAGGCATTTTGCGCTCCAATCGGAATGTCTTACTGAGGGATTTTATCAGTGATCCCACGAGGTATATCCGCGAAGCGGGAGTATTGAAAGAAATACAGGCATCAGGTGCTTATGCGAGGATGGAGAAGACTGTACGGGAGGAAATGGATTTGGAAGAAGTTGTACGCAAGCTTTACAAAAATGGTGTCAGCAATCTACTTGGGTGGTCATTAGCTGCTGCGGAGGTAAAAGCAACAGTTCATAACTCCAATAAACATTTCTTGGATGCAGCTGCCGAGGAGGCGAGGAACCTAACGACGACGATTGAAGCGATGAAACTGGAGGGATTGTACGAGTCTGTGCACAATGCGAGTTGGCACCATGTCGTGGAGGTTCCTGAAGGCGAGGGGACGGGAGTGGAAGTGAGGGATGGGGAGCCACCGCGGCCATGGACGTACAAAGCAGTTGGCCGAACTTTTGAAAAGAATGACGGTGTGGAGCAATCCGGTGCAGAGCGTCTCAAGCTGATGGTGCTCACCTCGGACAAGGGATGGCCGTATAGGTGGGGGCTGAATAAACTCATTCGTGACTGCTATGTGAACTCTGAGGTGGATCGAGTGTGGCAGATCGTCAAGGGCGGTCTCACCGGATGGTTCAGCAGTCACGATAAGAACAAAATTTCGCCTGATCCGTTTGTGCTGATTGGGACGCCCGGGATCGGGAAGTCGATGAATGCCGGTTCGTACCTCCTTTACCAGCTGCTGCAATACGATGCGAAGCGACTGCAAATGGTTGCTTACATTATTGCGGAGAAAACATTTCTTTTTGACAAGACCGCCAAAACGGTGAAAAAATGCAGTGAGGCGTCTAATATCGTGGATATTTTGGACGGGTTTTCTGGGCGTGGGTTTAAGGGGTATATTATCTACGACGTGGCAATGAAGGGTCATGAACCGTCCACTGCTTTGCCTTGCAAGGGATGGGGCATGATTGTGGTGACGTCACCGAACAAAAACAACTACGAATCGTGGGCGAAGCTGGTGCGAGCGAAACAAATCATAATTAATTGCCCTGACGAGAGCGATGTGAGGGCAATGTGCATTTGGAAGGAGCACAATGGGCAGCTTGCGGTGGAAGAAGAGGAGGAAGAAGCGGACTACTGGAAGAAGGTGAATGGTCGCATGGATAAAGTGGGACCACTTCTTCGCTACATCTTTGATGACAGAAAATACATTGGTCGGATTGACTCGTGCAAAAGTAAAGTTAAAACAATGAACCTTTTTGCTACCAACTATTACTCTATTTTGGGGACTAATGAAGTGTGTGATGATAGCCACATCTCTCACAAACTTGTAAAGGTCGTACGATTGCGAGGGGGAAACAATTTAGAATTGCCTTACAATGCACTGGTATCTTCCTATCTCGGAAATTTGGTGACATGCAAGTTGGCGGAGTTAATGGTGCCGAATGATTTTAATTTACTCGTATTGGCTATCAAGCACAATCTCTTATCAAAACCCCTTGAAAAGCATTCCGTGTTTACTTTTTTGAGCGAGGCCTTTGTAAATGCAATAATACCGAAACTCAGGGAGCTGAAACCAGAAAAAAATGCTCCGCCACACCTCTGTGCGTTGAGAGTGTATCCACATGAGCGCCCTCTCAAGCCCTGTATTTTCCAGTGCCTGGAAAAATTTAAAAAGAAGATTAATATGAAGTACGGGGTGCTGTACAAACCGGTGGCTCAAAACTTTCCGTTGGTGGACGCCTTTTTCTTTGTGGACTCAAATCCGAAGACGCTGGTTGGGCTGCAGATTACTACGGCGGGTGGGCACCGCACGATAGCCAGCACCGTGAGGCAGTTCAATGAGTGCCTGGCGGCATATTTTAATGTTTGGGAGGAATTATCCCGAGACATGTCGTGGGAGATTATTTACGTGCAGCACGCAGACAGCACGCCGATGAACGAATGGCAGAGATGTGATGTCGTCAATACCAATAAATTGAGCCCCGCTGAAAAAAAGATTGTGGCGTTCTGGGAGAAAAAGGTACACCAATACCAAGTGTCTGTATCATCCAGAGACTTTCCACGAGAAGAATCTCCCCCAACTGTGGAAGAACAACAACAACAGGAAACAGATTAGGAAATGAAAAGTGAAAGAGAAATTTTGATTTGTGGTAATTTTTTTTTTTTTGAAATATATATATTTAGACACTTGTGTGTGCATGCGGTGCGGGTGCACCAGCACCAGGTGACAGTGTTACAAAAAGATGTCAAGAATGGCCAAAGCTATCGAACATAACAGTGACAGAAGAAAATTAGGGAGGGAGTGGGGTTGTTTGGTTTCTGGTGAAAAACATTGGGTGATTTCTACATGTAGCATGTTAATTGTGTGCGTGTATACGAGGCGTAATCGGAGAAGTACCCCGGTATGAGGGAATCATTGTGTTTGGCGCTGTCGCAGTACTACTGCATTGTCCATTTTATTCTATTGTGTTCGAAGGCCCATCACTAACAGAAGCGTTTTTAAGGGATGGACGACGAATAAGTTCTATTTGGGAAATGGCGCACTCCGTGTGACCGCATGGAATGAGGCGCCTCGTCATGGATGGATGAGGAATCGCTTCCGCGTGTGGCTCCTTGAGAGCTCACTTCGTGTTCGCTGTTTGTTGGCTGCGGGGCTGTGGTCGTATGCCGTTGGTCGTAGGATTGAACTGGAGGCGGTGTGTCTCTTTTCTTCTTCCATTGGTGGTTGATTGGTGGCGGTGTGTGCGTTTGTTGTGTGGAGGGCCGAATCCTCTCGCCCGCGGACTGACAGCACTGCGATGGTGTGTGTGTGTGAGGGCTGGTGTGGAGTTGCCGGCCAGGGCGAGGGCCATGGCGGTGCTTTTCCTGCGACTGGTGTTTGTTCCCTCCGTGTGTGTTTGCGCTGCTTCTTGCTTTTTTCCCTTGTGATCCTTTTCTCCTGTGTTATTGCGTGGAGTGGCCGCATGCTCACGGGCCATGTTGATTTTGAGTGCCTCTTGACGGCATGCATTCATCTCCCTCTTTTCTCTCTGTCTGTCATTTCCTGTTGTGTGTGGCGTGTTGCACCGCGTGAGGGCTGGCCCGCACAAACCGACGGCCCGCCGTGACTTGCCGTGTTGCTGCTCTTTTCTGTGTGCAATGGTCCTTTGTGCTGTCCCTTCCGGATTGTCTTTTGTCCCGCACTTTGCGTGGGTGTTCCGCTCTAACCCCCGCTGACCTTTCTGATGTATTGCCACTGTTGCTTCTGTACTCTCCAATTTTTGAATACAGACACGCTAGGAAAGAAGGAAAACAAACGCGAGTCGCTACTGTGAAATTGTAAGGCACTGAAAGAGCCAACAGCACACACCGCCCACACACAAACACATATTTATATGCTCTCACGTGTTGCTGCAGTGAAGGCACTCCGCACACACAACCGTCGCCGCGTGACCAGATCCAGCGGAAGGAGGAGGGAAGGAAGGGGGAAGGAAAGGCCGTTGATCCTTTTCAGGGAACGACACCGGCGCCCTATAAATAGCATGAAATGACTGTATCCGAGGCGGCCGCCGGCTCGCTTCGTGTTCCCAGCCTTGCTGAGGTGGCCGGCGGTGTGTTTGCCGTTGTTGAAGCTCAGTGCAGTGAAAGGGACGGAGCCTGCGGCCATGCCGCGACTGCATCAACGCACATTGAGACGGACGGTGGTGGCTCAAAGGCGATCTCGGCGATGGATGCAGGCGTGTCTCTCGTAGAACTTGTGGATGCCGCCAGTGGTACGATCAGGACACGAGAAAAGATGCAGCCAACGACAATTGTGAGCGGCGACAGTATCTACATGGCCCTTGGGGACTACGAGAAGAGGACGTCTGGGGGGCGAGGCTGCCGATGCAGATGGCTGGAGGCTTTTACTGACGCGGGGAACTCTCACTGAGGATGGTGGGCAGAAGAAAATCATGTGGGATGATATCCGTGCAGTGGACCCTGTGGCCATCGGGCTTACTCAATTCCTGAAGAGGGTGATCGGTGGCGGAGGATCGGGTGTTGTGACGAAGAACGGTTACCCTGTGCTTCCCATGCAGGCAGTAGAAAAGGATGGAAGGAGTGTTGTACTGTCCATGCGTTTCAAAATGCATATGGAAGCATGGGAGCTCTCGTCCGGTACGACAGGTATTAACTGCAAGGAACCATCCATCGCAAACTTGGAAGGAAATCTAATTTTGATTACTCCTTGCGCTGCCGGCTACTACGAAGTATTCAGGTCCATTGACTCTGGGATACGTTGGGACAT